ACTACCTTCCCAACCTACCCCCACACCCACATCCTACATCACCCCTCCCCCAAGCTATCCACAAAAAGGATACAAACAGCATCCAAGAAATAAGAAAATGAACAGACGACAATAGAACCTCTATCTTAACAGGATAGATTGACTAAAAGCTAGGACCACCGGGGAGGCCACGGGAGACATTGACCCAGGAACCAGCCACAACATAAGACCCAAATGGATTATACCAGGTGCATAACCCCGACCACTCCGGTAACCCACCTTTGAAGCATAGGGAGCAAACTAACAAACCCACTAATGCCACACACACACACCCAGAAGACAGACCTCAGACTGGGACATGTCACCCAGGACAGGACACTCAACAGGAGCCCAACTACAACCCTAGCAGAAAAGCATACAAACCCATTCCTGGGTACCTAACCCGAACTGATCACCTTCGCTACACCCCACTGCATCCTTCTGAGGATGAAACATAGGCATACGCAGACACAGAAAGTTAACCAATAAAGGTGTACCAAGCCAAATATTGCTCACACAATCCACAACCCATGGTCGAACTACCTGTATATGCGACTGTATTCACATGGTTAAAAGAGTACCCTGCGATGGTACACACACGAATGGAAGACAATGTAATAACCCAACCCCAACCTCCCTTCTCTTTCTTCTGTATCCCTTCCCTTCAATACTGGTATTTACTCAAAAAAACTATAAATAAAGAATTATAAAAAAAAAGAAAAAAGATAATCATCTAACTCTGTATCCTTATGCAAGATTGCTATAATTAAGGGTACTAAATCTACCTATCCACTAAGCAACTCAAAGAGCAAATTTAAGAAAAATGGCTGTTCTAAATTTTGCTCACTGTTTAGAAGATAGATCACTAATTTGGTACCCTATCCTTACCTGGGATTACCATATTTAAGGATACTAAATAATGGAGACAATTTTTGCCAATATGAATCTTATAAAACTGAGCAAACCATGTATGTTATACTATTTCCTACAGTGCTCCCTTTCAACAGAAGATAATGTGTCCATTAATTTACCTCTAACATATCAGATCTTGATGAGGATTTATTATTGGGAAGTTACTTGATGGTGGTTTTTAACTTCATATAAGCTATGTAAGTTTATTAGTTCCATAGTTAGAAACTGACTTTCAGATTAGAGAACAGATACAACAGATTGTATTCAGCATGTGTCTTATGTTTACAAAAGGTTGAGATAATGATTGTAATGTTATAATAGTAATCCTAATTATATAATGTTACAAAAAAACAAACAGATTTTGTACTTGTACAGCTAAACCTAGTATATGTACACTGATCAGCCACAACATTAAAACCACTGACTACTGCAAAGTAAATAACATCGATTATATAATTACAATGGCACCTGTCAAGGGATAGGATGTATTAGGCAGCAAATGAAAGTACATTTTTGAATTTCATATGTTGGAAGCAGGAAAATGGGCAAACAAGGCTTACTGATGCACATGGGGAATGAAGACCAGCCTGTCTAGTCCAATCACACAGAAGAACTACTGTAGCTAAAATGTATGAAATATTTAATCTTGGCCATGATAGAAAGGTATCAGAACACATAGTGCATTGCAGTTTGCTGCATATGGGCAGGCGTAGCTGTAGACCGGTCAGAGTGCTCATGATGACCCTGGTCCACCACTGAATAAAGACATTCACATCAGAATTGGACTATTGAGCAATGGAAGAAGGTTGTCTGGTCTGATGATTTTGATGAATCACATTTTATTTTAGATTGGGTGGTTGGCCGGGTGCTTGTTTACCTGGGGAAGAGATGGCAGCAAGATGCACTATGGACAAAAGGAAGGCCGGCTTTTTTTCTTCTTCTTCTTATTCCAAAGTTGAACTTCTAGAGAATATTCTGTTTATCCGACGCTAGATATGTTATATCAATCAGCCAGTTCATTGCCAGCAATATTTTGGTAATCGTTTTGTTATTTCAGTACATGTGGAAAATGTTTAACATGTTAGAAAAAAATGATTTAAGCAGAGAAGCAGTGACACCTTGTGGCTACTATTATTAATCAGTTAAATAGTAAACCAATACAGCACACTCAAAATGTCATCATTTTTATGGTTTCCACTAATCAATACTAGACAGTTTGAAAGGTCAAGATTTCAACCATCTGTTTTATCCAGTACCAGATAAACCTGTTCATGTGGCAGTTCTTTTATTCTGAAAACTGGAATATGTATAGCCAGGCTAGGTTTGGTTACAGAATGAGATCTTTTGCAACCTTCATGAAAAGAAGCATTAATTGAAAATGATTAACATGTATGTTTAACCACATAGTGTAGTGTGTGCGTGTTTGGGGGGGTTAAAAGGGGCAGTTGCCTGGGGGCAAAATTCTTAGGGCCGCAAAATTACAAAAGAAAAAAAAATAGTAGTAATAATAAATATGAAAAACAATAGATCTCCCTCCCCCTTACAGAGAACCTCTTCCAATGTTCGAATATTCTACACAGTTATTCAACATTACTGGGAAAACAAATGTTCTCATGTAACATTTTACACCAATTTTCTTGCTAATTGCAGCCATACTGTTTACATGTAATCCTTATCAGTGAATTACATAATGCCTATAAAATAGCATGATTTCCCATTTGATACCACCCGTACCAATGGCGTACGCACAATCTATGGGGCCCCGGTGCGAAACTAATCCATGGGCCCACCCCGCATTAGAGACACGCATACATACAGACACACATACATACACACACAGACACAGACACATACACATACAGAGACACATACATACACCTAGACAGACACACAGACACATACATACAAAGATATATACAGACAGACAGGCACACATACATACAGACAGACACACAGACACATACATACAGAGACACACACAGACACATACATACAGACACATACACACACACACACACACGGAGACACACAAACAGATACACTCATACATACAAACAAAAACACACAGATACAAAATGTTTAAATCACCCTCCTGTTTCCTACCTTTTAGTTACAGGAGGGTGACTTTCCATGGGGTCCAGTGGTGGCTCAGGCTGGTGGGAGTCAGAGTTCCCACTCTGACCCCCTCTACTTCCACCCGCACGGGCTCTTGCTGATAGCTGGGAGGAGTGACGGGCAGTCACAGTCATCACCCCTCAGTCCCCACCCATGAGCAGCAGGTGGAGGCCAAAAGTAATAATAAGAGTGCTCTGATTGGTAACTTGCAAGGCTCAAAGCACTTATCATAAACTATTATTGGTTGGCTTAAATCAACCAATCAGAGCACTCTGAGTCAAATTGCAGGGCGTGGGAAGGCTTTATATGTCTTTTCCTGCCCTGCGGAGCTCAGTCTGCACGATGTCCTCGCTTTGTGAAGATGGATTTTTTTTGGGGGGCGTCAGATTTTTCTTTTTTCAGTGTGTTTTTTTATTTGCGCTCAGGTGTTTTTTTTGTTGTTTTTTTAAGTTTGACGGGAATTATGGCTTTTTAATTGGCCTTTTTGGGGCTGAAAAAAAGGTTTTTTTCTTTTAAAAAAAAGAAGACATCTAATGATAAGTATCATTTTTTTTTATTTACAGATATTTAGTTTTTTGTTCCCCCCTCACTATTTTTAGGATGAGGGGGTAGGTAGTGTTTAATTTTATTGGGGATGGAGGTGTCTAGGGACTTGAGGACTCCTACTCACTTGTGGGGTTATATTTAGCCTCCACCCGCTGCTCATGGGTGGGGGCTGAGGTGGAGACTATAGGTCCTCCCCCACCTTTTGTTACTTAAGGCCCCCACCCGCTGCTCATGAGTGGGGACCAAAGGGGGGAAGACAATAGGTCCCCCCCTATTGATATTTAGGGCCCCCACCTGTTGCTCATGGGTGGGGGCCAGGAGGGGAGACAATAGGTCCCCCACTTTTGTTACTTAAGCCCCCCACACGCCGCTCATGGGTGTGGGCCATGGGGGTAAACAATAGGTCCCCCCCCCTTTTGTTACTTTTGTTACCCTAGGTCCCCGTTCCATTTAATAGCCCACCTGTTAATTATTTTAGAAGATACTCCATCATGGGGACCTGTGCTAGGTCCCCCTTTTTTTGATTTGGGGAGTGGTGGGCTTTTTTTCTTTTAACAGTTAGTAGCCACTGGCTGCACACTGTTTAGTAGACATGTCCCTACTCGTGGCATAGTGAGAAGGGGCATTCAGGAGATTTTAATCTCCCTTATGCTAATATGGGGGTCTTATTGACCTCATAGAATGATGAGGGGCATGGGGGCAGTTAGGAAGTGGCGGGGAGCCACATATTACAAGGAGGGAGCTGCGAGCCAATAGCTCAGTCCTTGTAATAAACTAAACAAACAAAGAGGTCTTTGTTCATTCGTTTGAAATTTCAATTCATTTATTCGTCTTTCTGACAAATGAATGATGAGACGAAATTCCGTGCCGAATGCCCGAGTGTTTAACTGGGCATGTGCGGGAATTTTGCAGTGCTATCTAGTGTGGGCAGATGACATGTCCCACAGGGCCTTCATCTGCCCACATTAAGATGGCGGCGCCCAGGACCTAGGTCTGGTAACAAAATAAAGTTAAAAAAAAAGGTAGTGTAGTTGGAAGGGAAGTTCAATAAAAAACGGCCATGACAGTACCACTTTAAGGCTTATTATATTTTACAGAAGGTTGTAACAAAGGAAAATGCAGATGGGTTAAACGGTGAATAATCACACAAATCAATATCGGGCCATATGCATTGTATTTAACTAAACATATGATTTAATGACTTTAACTTTGGATATTGTGTTAGAGTTTACCCTTAGAGTACAGTTATATAGTTCACTGTATTTTAGTGACAGGCTGCAAGGTAAAGCCAGAAAATGTGTTTCTATTTTCTAGTGCTTTTACATGACACAATAGGTTAGAGGACAAGGAAGACAAACAGGTCGGGTGAGAATGTGGGGGGGGAGAGTCAGCTCATTTCTCAGTGACACAGTCTGAAACACTAAGCAGCTCAGATGTCTGGTTTATGTGACACTAGGTACTTTTGATTTACAAACCACAAGCAACAGTCACATACAGTTTATTTAAAGCCCTTTCCCTCTTGAAATGTTCTTCTGGATGATGTGTTGAAATGCTCATCCAAATTCTACAGAGACTGAGGTCATGGAGATTGTGGGATCGCCAATTGGAAGATGAAACTATAGAGCTCCTGCAGTACAGAAGGTAGAGTGTTACTCATTAATCTTATGCCAGGAGGGAGATATTACAATACAGCTTTATTTCTTCATTTATGGGTTACAAGAGCAGCAACCTTTTTGGAAAATAAAAAGTCTATTATCTTGGATACAATTGAGGGTTCTATATAAACAGCAATTCAGTGGCAAAGTAGTACAAGTAGTGAAATATGCAGGATCAGCTGATAATTGTTAAGAGAGATAGATAGATAGATAGAGAGTTCAGCTGTTGCTGCCTAAATTTTGTAATTCAATGTGCTGCTTAGTGAATACCCCCCCAACCACATATATACAATAAAACTAGCTAGTACTTGTGTATATACCATTGATACCATTCTTCAGCATGATTAACCAAGCTGCAACCAATTTTCTAAGCCTCAAAATTCTCTATATAGCAAAGTGCTCACAGTAAAATATTATTTTGTACACCTTTGTTTCATCAGATTAGAGATAGCTCGACTGATATAATCTTCAGTTGTTGGCACGTTATCATTTATTTCAGATAGCAGCCTATATAACAGAGGTTGCAATCATCAATCATTAATATAACTATTAATGGCTTACTGTATGACACAATGGGTTTCCAAGTTGTACAGTTGGTTCAATTCTTGCCAAGCCAACATGGCCTGAGGGATGTTATCTACAGCAATATGTTTAGTAATACTATCTCATTCCATGTGTTGTATAAACAAAGCTGTTAAACGGATATCAATCATCTCTCTATTTAGTATTTAGACAACACTTAACATGTAATCGTTACACAGAAATGACCTTGATCTGCTAGAAAAGTATAATGTCTGATCCCTGCAGCTGTGACCATGTAGACAAAATTAATGTAGTTCATCGTATTTGGACTGATGGGTTCCATTCAATTGATAAACAGGAAAGGTCTTGGTATTTAGAAAGAATCAGTATATCAGTATGAATATTCTATAAATAATATAAACAGTGCAGCTATAACTAAACAGAAAGGGTCAATGGAGTTGATTGACAGCTTTATTGGTACTGCTCTCTATGTCAATATGTTCCTAAATCAATGGATTATACTTCTAAATGTAATAACGCTATATTCACCACCCTGGTGATGACAGCTGGCCCATTAATCTTCCCATCATTTTGGATGGGCAAGATGGTTAAGCGAGAATATCTCCAGCAATAAACTTTCCATATGAATTCTGGATTAATATCTATTGTGACATATTTTGATTAAACAGATTTACATATATGAAGACCTTCGAGTACGCTTTATCCTGGATCGTGTGTGTATATACCGCTATATATATATATATATATATATATATTGAATGGTGTCAAGCTTCATGTTGAAATATTGAACCAAAATTATCTGTAAGACTATATTGTTTTGATTTTTTGTTAAGGATACAAGAGTCACCACTACTTCTGGCAGCAAAAGAAAACAATGTTACACGATTAAAGGAACTTCTTAAAGATGGCAAATGGCACCAGAATGAAAGAGGTCTGTATCATGGCATCATCACTGGTAAGAGGTGTACAGTATACAGTACAGGGGTAAAACATTGTTTTTTGTGTGTTTAACTTGCCTAAAATATACTTGGTGGGTGTCTAGTTTCCAAATTGTCTTTTGTAATTTAAATTGTGTTGATGAGTGGCTTCTAGTTTATATTGTATCTGTTATTTTGTTTGTCTAGCCCAGGGTTGTCAAACATACGGCCCCCCAGATGTTGCTGAACTACAACTCCCATGATTCCCTGGCTATCTGTTTCATTGAAAGAATCATGGGAGTTGTAGTTCAGCAACATCTGGGGGGCCGCATGTTTGACAACCCTGGTCTAGCCTATATTAACCCCTTAAGGACACAACTTCTGGAATAAAAGGGAATCGTGACGGAATATTTCCGTCATGTGTCCTTAAGGGGTTTAGAATGCTGTTATGTGTTTCTTGTTTACGTTTATGTGTGATCCTGGTTTAAATTGTACATACTGTTTTTCATATTTACTTTATAATTATGCACGTGTATGTAGCATTAATCTAATTAATACTGGGCTTGTGGTTTTATGTCTTTAATATATGATGTATGTTTTTTATGTAAATATTATATGTGGAGTTCAATAGATTTTGATATTAGATACATACATTGCAGGATTGGTTTTAAATGTAATGTGGAGTTAAAGTACTTGCAGTATACTGAATAAACTGTCTTTATTTAATGTATTGATAGGAGCTGTGGGTGAAACATCGCTGCATGTGGCTGTCCAACACAATAGCCTGGAAGCAGTACAAGTTCTATTAGAAGAAGCACCAGAGCTAATTAACCAGCCAATGACCTCTGATTTCTATCAAGGTATGGCAAACAATAATTATTTATCCTTTTACGTACACATACACATCCTACCTCATTCCTCCTTTCATCCACTCACTTATTCTACCTTATTTTCTGTAGTCCCATAAGCACATACTATCTGTCTATAACATATTCTTTCTATTTCTCTGATGTTTTTACTTTCCTTCCTTAATTCCTATGTTCATCCTCTAGCAATTTTTCATACTCTTGCATACTCATCCTATCTTCCCTCCTTTCTATTCACATATCTTACTTTTCGTCTCATAAATTTCATTATTTCTTCTCCTCCTATACATACCTTTAATCTAAATATACATCTTACCTTCCTTTAATACCATACCATCATTATCCGTATTTCTCTACTGCTTGATCTTCGCCTATTCCTGCTTATGCGTTGGTCCGATTTTCAGATTGTGTTCTATATTTACCCTTGCTATGCCTGGCCACTCTAAGAACTGCTAATTAGTTTTCTCCACTTAGTATAGAACCTGCTGTGCCTTATGTTTTCATGTTGGGGTATAACTGCCTTGACAGTTAAAAAACCTCTTAAGGTGATACTCACAACTCACAACATAGGTGTACTCTAGGTGTATTTAAAAACAGCAATTTAGTGATGTTGTGATACATACAACCAACAGCGTGATATATAAATATAATTGCAACCTTGTAAAATCACAACTTTGGTATCTAAAAAGGAGACAAAAAAAGCAGAAGGAACGCCTATTGCAATAAAGTTACAAAACATAAAATAAATATATAAATCTGTAGGTCGTCAATTCACAAGTTGAGAGTGGTTAGAGCACCACTCAAAGCTATAACACCCAGGGAGGATCAGCCACTTGAGTGTGTGGGATCCAATAGATGCACTTGTGACCAGGGTTGCAGATAAGTGAAAATTCCTTTATTCCAAGTATAATAAAAAACATATGCAGAAATGGTAGAAGTCCACCATTCACTCACCAGCCCTTGGGAATAGGGACATCTTCTGTGAGGTATACAGGCTGTAACAGCCGTCATTCATGTTCCTGATCGTGGCTGGCTTCCGCGTTTCTGGTTCATAATGCATTTTGCCCTTCCTCTTGGGGCTTTCTCAAATGAGCAGTGGGAATATCATCCGGAATATAAGGAGCTGCAGCAGCCTGGCAGACAGCACAGGTATTGTTTCAAGAACTGACGATTGCATCACGGCTAGGAGCTCTACAAATAAAAGACGATTAGAAGTGAGAGGATGCACTGCTCATTTGAGAAAGCCCCAAGAGGAGGGGTGAAACGCATCACGGACCAGGAACGCAGAAGTGTTTGAACTGTCTGCACCAGCAAAACCAGCCACGATCGGGAACAAGGACGGCTGTTACAGCCTGTATACCTCACAGATGATTTCTCTATTCCCAAAGGTTGGTGGGCGAAAGGTGGACTTGTACCATTTCTGTATATGTTTTTATTATACTTGGAATAAAGGAATTTTTACTTATCTGCAACTCTGGTCGAAAGAGCATCTACTGGATCCCACAAATTCTAGGGGCTGATCCTCCCTGGGTGTTATAGCTATGAGTGGTGCTCTAACTACTATTAACTTGTGAGTTGACGACCTACAGATTTATATATTTATTTTATGTTTTGTATCTTTATTGCACTAGGAGTTCCTTCTGCTTTTTTTGTGTCTCCTTTTTAGATACCAAAGTTGTGATTTTACAAGGTTGCAAGTATATTTATATGTCACACTGTTGGTTGTATGTATCACAACATCACTAAATTGTTGTTTTTAAATACATCTAGAGTACACCTTGGTTGTGAGTTGTTAATATCACCTTAAGAGGTTTTTTAGATATCCACAGAGGGTTTTTCTTAATCCTGCGCACCATCACTTCCATTTGCTACTTCATTTAAATCTCATTACCAAGATTTTGTGTTGGTTGTGGCAATTGTTATTTAATATTGTGCAATTAATGGTAATTTTTTGCGCCATCTTATTTATAGACGAATATATTGCCTTGACATTAACCTACTCATTTTACTTTCTTATGGTCACCTAATGACATATTGTTGCATGATCTCCTATATTTCTTTAGGTATTTTAGTTTACACCATAAGTTGAGTAGGATAACAAAGACATAGAAGGCAATGCTTCAACTATAAGGATTATCTTCCAACTGAATACATTTCCTCATAGTAAATATGTTTCCCTTACAGGACAGACAGCTCTACACATTGCAACTGTAAATGAGAACATAAACCTGGTCCAGATGTTGATAGAGAAAGGGGCTGATGTTGGTTCACCTCGCGCTATTGGAACATTTTTTGCACTAAGTCCCAAGAACATTTTTTACTTTGGTGAGCACACGTAAAATAATACGTCGAATTGCAATCTAGTCAAGACTAGACAGACGCCTGTATAATTTTCCATAATACTGATTTTTATTGTTAGCTTCTAGCTTTCTCAGAGGTTGCAGAAGAAAAGAAAATTATACTAAAAGTAGGACAGTTGAGATAGCTTGTAGCATAATACGAAAGGTAATAAAGATTTATTACACTCACATAGAAACTTGGCTATAGATGTATGTTGATGGAAGATAAAATCGAACTGTCCGGTCTAGCCTGCCTTCCTTGTCCATTTTCCATTATCCAGAGAATATGCACATCTCATATACAGCTAGCCATATGCAATATATATTAGGGAACATAAATTAATTATAATGTATAAGTGTGTCAACTAAGATTAAAGTGATGTAACAAAATTTCTACTCCCAGGGGAACATATTTTAACCTTTGCTGCATGTGTGGGGAACGCTGACATTGTCAAGTTACTTCTAGACCATGGAGCAAATCTCCGGGCTCAGGATCGTTGGGGTAAGAGCTGAAAAGTGAATAAATCATAGGTTAAGATACAAGACAGCTAAAACTTAAAGGAACACACCAATCACCATAACCAACACAGAAAGCTGTTGTGATTGTGGTGCTTGGGGTACTTCTTAAACACTGGACATGAAAGACAAAGAGTGCGGTTCTGGAACAAACAATCTGAAACTAGAGTATAGACTCTCTGAATATTGAACAACCAAGGAAATTAGTGCTATAGACCAGGACATTCATTCAGAACAATACAAATATGTGTCTCAAAAGTTTAGTCAAACAGAAAGTGTCTAGAGAATTTGGACTTCATCATTTGACTTTAAATAATTCAATATTTGAACCTTTTTGACATCCATTGTCAGCATACACTTTTGTTGAAAATGTCAAGGTAATTTAATAAAGTGTATTCTCCCAAGATGAATTGATTGAATTTCCAATTTAAGTCCAAAGTAGATGAACTGGAAGCATAGCTGTCTTGGAGATTTTTTTCAGTTCAGGTATTTTAACCTGAAGTTTAAAATTCACTTGGAATTCCCGACAATTCTTCATTAAACAATATTAAATATGATCATTTATCTTATAATCCTAGAGGAACTATTTGCTATTTGCAAGTTCTAAATTACTATATGAGGAAGTTAAGTATTTTATAGTTTATAGGTGACGAAAATAAATGATGGCATGACATACCAAAAATGTTGCCACTTTAACTTTATAGTACTTCAATTTTTTTAAATATAGTGGATTTTTTTTTTTTTGGTAATATACACAAATCAATCTTCTCCAAAAGTGAAATAATCCCTTATATAATAGAAAATCCATAAATTGCGAAACTTTACACAAGTGTGTAAAAAATAATCGTGACCCACTAAGTGAATTTTTTTCTGTTTTATCAGGTAACACTGTCCTGCACATTCTTGCTCTCCAGCCTAATGCAGCCATGTGCTGCCAGGTGCTTGACTTTCTGCTATCCAATGACGTCAGGCCAGTTGGACGACCTTTGGAAGAGATTCCCAACAAACAGGGACTCACACCATTGAAGTTGGCTGCCACTGAAGGGAATGTGATTGTGAGATTCTTATTCTTGAAGCATTTAGAGGATTTGGAATTTGCTTTGGTTTTTTTTTCTACATTTTTATCATTGGTTCTAGTGGACAATTGCCTTCAGAGTAGGCAAGTAGGACCAGGGACTTGGCCATCATTAGGCTCACTAATTTAGCAGGATTTAGATAGCATCGTGTGAGGGTCAATATTCGTATTTCTATCTTCACTGGTTCTTAGGGGGTGCTTATAAAACTCAATATTTTTAATGAGGCACAATATTTACTTTTTAATGTATTTAGGTTTGACTCTTGTTGATGTGATTGTCTTTGTTAGAACCATTTACTGTCACAGCTATTTAATATTCCATATGAGGCCCCTTATACATCACAACTTTACTAGATGTTTCAGCACTTGGTACAGAAGAAGAGGAAGGTCCAGTGGAATTTTGGTCCTGTTACATCCATTTTGTATGACTTGACAGAACTTGACTCACTTGATAAGGAGCAATCTGTTCTGGAGCTAATCGTATCCTCAAACAAAAGTAAGGTAGGAAGGAATCTTATCTGTATCTTGTTATTAACTCAATGGTACTGCTGGAGGCTGTTGAATATTAACCATTCCTTATTAATCCTTTCTAATTAATTTTGTTTGTTTTTTCTGTATCATTATTTGTTTTAATTTTGATTCCACTTTACTTAAAATATAATCAGATAAGGTGTCTGTAAATTGAATTTATGATTTAAACTCTTAAAAATAGTATTTTCTTGTTAAAAAAAATATTGCTTCCTGTACCTCATTGTCTGTCTGAGCATCATTGGAAATGTAGGTCACAAAGATGGCAAATAAAGTGCTAATTAAACCACAATACCATAATAATCTCTCAACAATGTATTAGGCCTGAGGGTAGGAGATGTATTTCTGTTACTGATTCCATGACTAGGTTCTGATAATTCCTGCAGTTATGAGCGTTTATTGATAGAGTTAAAGGGACACTGTAGGCACTTTATTTAATCTCATTGAATTGTTTATAGTGCTTAGAGCCACTAGCGATGACCTTCCATTCATTGTTAAACCATTTTGAGCAATTTCACATAATATAATAGTCCCTGGCCCTGTAGCCAGGCCCCTACATCCTTGTTAGCATACCAGTTCATACCAGTTATGGACACTGTGATAAAGGCTCTGACTCTCGCTGAAATGTTGCCTCTGTTTCAATTAAAATCTGTCTTTGGATTTTACCCTGTGAGTGCCAGAAAAGCTTTCAATTCTTCACACCATGGACACTGTGATAAACTGAAAGTGGTCAGCTCAGCTTGTTGCTCAATGGATAGTGAACTCCGAACACTAAAACCACTTCAATAAATTGGAGCAGTTACAGTGTCCCTTGAAGTGAGGTGAAATTTTCAGTTTCAAACTCTCTTTAGATGAATGTTTGAAGAAATATTGGTTATTTCTGTAAATCAAAAGCAAAGTATCATGCAAACCATCTAAAATATATTATTAAATTGGTACATTCTTGGTCAAGTTGTATCTATTGCATATCTTTCAACTGTCTGACCTACAAAGTCCTAACGCAGACTCCACCATAATGTGGTGATCTGCCATGGCCAACCTTCACTGTTATCATGAAATCCTCTGCTGTTCTTATTAAAGCTTCAACTTTAAGATTGCTTCCATAGTGTTTCTACCAAGGGAAATCCACCAACTCATCCCATCATCCTCCCCTCAATGTTTTCAAATTATATGTTCCTAAAATGTACATATACAGAAGTATGACATCCTAAACTCTACACTTTGATGCATAATTATTAATTTATCCAATATTCATGTCTCATGGAAACACACATACTGAGATTCATAAACCTCACACTGTTTTTAAAATCTCTTTTTTTGGTACTCCATCTAAGTTCTAGTTAAGCAATGGTATTTTTTAATTATTATGTCATGGCCTGTCAAGCGAAAAAGTATTTTTAATATTTCTTCTTTTAATCTACTTAAAGACGCTCCAAATATTGAACTTGGCGCCAATTAAACACCTGTTGAAAAAGAAATGGCGCAGAAATGGCCGTCCATATTTCTGGTTCCTGGCAATTGTCTATGTGCTGTATATGATCTGTGTTTCCCTTTGCTGTGTCTATCGACCACTTAAACCAAGAGAACCTTCACCTGATAATTTGACCAACCCCCGAGACATCACATTGTATGTACAGAAAACATTTGAGGTAACTTACACTAGTATAATTCAGCATTCTAAAAATAAATTTTACATATCAACATTCCCTCTGTCACCCCAAAAAATGTTTTAGGGAAAATCTTGACTTTGATTTAATATTTTTAGATAAGATTTTCAGGTTGATCACAATATGTTAAAAAAAAAAAAAAACTTTTCAAATTATTTATCTCGAGAATCACTATTAAAATCTATAAGAATTTTTGTAGATAAATTCTTTTATAACAGATTTATGATTATTTGAAAAGCTTATTGAAAAATAATACATTTAGGACTTAGATGAAAACAATTGAATTGGTGGGGAGGACAAAGCTAATGACATAAATATAAGTAAAAACATTCCATTAGGTCATTATTAGTATCAGATAGGTGTCATGTAGTATGCATCCTTTGTCTCAGGTAAAAGGCCCAAGCTTAGAGAATTGCAAGTTTAGGGTACAGGGCATGAATGCAACAGTAAAACAACAAATCTTTATCTCATTGCACAGCACGTCAGAATATGTGGCAACTGCATAAATAAAAAACACGTCAATAGTTGTTACATTTAATTTATTTTGGAATTCTCTAATTTTATTTGCATGTCTAAATTATGAATTTTGTGCACTTAGCTTGTGTTTTATTAACCATAAGTTTATTATTTAGAAAATGTGCTAAACTCAACAATAAGGGTCAAGCATTATACAAGTAGTTTCTTTGTTCCGTAGACATTCAGGACGTGGTCCACATATTAAGTCTTTGCCATTTTTTGTTATCATTTTGTTGAATTTTTTTTAATGATAATTACAATGTGTAGGTGAAAAGAAACAAAACAAAATTGTCATAAAGAACAAACTGTCCAGAATAAATCTTCAAATAGTCCCCCCTTCCAAAGAACAAGAAGAGACCTAATATGGTCTGGAGTTAGAGTAGTTTTTACCCCTTTGACCCCTCCTCTTTCAAAATAAGAATAAATCTTTCTCCCAAAAATCTATATAAAATGTACAAAAAAAGCAACACATGCAGCTAAAAAATAAAACATGGTGCTCACAATCTATGGGTTCTCCGATGTTGTGGACAGGTTCTAAACATATTACGTTAACTTTAGAGCTAGTGCAATGACAAGTTGTAAGGCACTCATAGTTAAATATTTTCTAGGAATCTTACCTCACCCGGGACGATCATCTTCGAATGTGTGGAGAGATTGTATCTGTTATCGGGGCATTTGTACTTCTTCTGCTAGAGGTAAGACTTTTGAAAACAATATTTTATTTTGTGGGCAATTTAACTTTTAATATTTTAACCTTAACACATAGTAAAAGTATTTGAACTACTTCCAGTACAGATTTCACAAGTGTAGTATTCAATATTCCTGAAAATGTACATTTGACTAATTAATGACGATTTTAAAAAATAAATAAGTAATACAAATTAATAGATTGGAGATTTTTTTCAGGCCTAAACTGCAGAATTTGGGCTGATTGAGTGATTATTCAAACATGCTTAGTAAATATATAATACATAAATATATAAATACAGATTTTTCTACCGTTTCACCTGTTTTTCCTTCTTTTGGTTACTTTTTGTCAGATGATCAGTGAACTAGTGGTGTGCACAGGGTAAAATTTGTTTAACTTTGTTTAATTAATTTTTTTAATTTTGATTAATCTGAAATTAGGAAAATATAAATTCAGACTAACTGAATTTTGTCTGAAAATGTACATTTCCAAAATTTAGACGCCCATTATTCCAAAGGGGAATAATTGAAGGTGGCCGTTACAAAGTTGTAAAGTACCAATTACGGAAGGAGAAGAAAACAACTTTCCAGAAAGAAATCTTAAAGGCACCAATATTAACCATCCAAAACAGACAAATAGATCCTCCAGAATATTTAGATTATTGACCAGTATCAGTGGTAATTGTACATATAAATATACAAATACAACTGATGAAATCAGGTCTTATGAAGAAATTATTCAGCCTGTGTGAACATATGGATTCCTAATACATTGCTTGAACAGGAAAGACCTGTACTTAGAAATCCTTTCATACCTTTTAAGAAAAGCACTGGTCAGAGTCAGCTGGGAAGTTTAGCAGATAATTTAGTGCAGGTTAGTATTGAAAGGCCACTGAAAGGACACAGTTCTGATAATTATATGTTACATTTTCCCTGCTACAAATCAGTCATTCTCCATGGAAAAAAATATACTGCCAATCTCAAATTTCAGTACTTATTATTATTAATAAAATGATTAGAACAAGATGAAAAAAACTATGCCTGACTAAAAATGTCATTGAGAAAGATTAACTGTGTATACAGTATCTACGGAGGAATTATCAGATCTTTTGTGCAGACAAAAGTAAAAAAAAGTAAAAACAGGTTGGCCAAAAAAATATAATAGTAAAACAAAATAAAAATAGTAAATAGTCAATGTATTAAAATATAAAATAAAAACATAAGCCGAATAAACTAAAAAGTGATTGCATTAAATATAGTAAAGATACAAAGTCTTTAGAAATGGGTATGGAATAAACACCACTTAAATGGTAGTAGAATACAACAGAAGTTCCCAAATATACAGCCTTATCTTGTTAAGGAAAACAGTAGGGATTCTTGTTCCATAAAGAGGTCCATATAATCATATTAAAAAAAAAATCAAACAAAAAGATCCAATAGGGTAGTATATCAAGACAAACAGAGCTTGTGCAAAATGTAGTAGAGGCTTTAAAGAGCTAAATGGACTAAGAACTAAGATATTGTAATAGTGACAAAGCTGCTTCCTACTGCCACATATATTAACTCTTATGGCATTACATTTGTAGTTTATTGTATTAAGTCTAGTCTGAGCTAAGTTATTTTAAAGTATACTTTTCTAATACTAAAATAGTGACACCTGTCACAGCTTATTGCCCGATACATGTACTATTGTATGGCCATTTAGCAAATCTGTTCTAGACATCAATTATTCCACTATATAGAAGTTCCCCTCTCCTCCCCGATATTATATCTAGGGAACTACTGCTATCAAATTTGGTATGACAACAAAGCCTTCATATTCTCTGAACAACAAATACATTGTATGACCAAGGTTACACACACTGCATTCATACACATACACACTGCATTCATATACACACACACACACACACTGCATTAATACTCACACATACACTGCATTTATACCCACACACACACTCTGCATTATATACACACACACACACACTGCATTCATTATATACACACACTGTAAATAAATATTCAATTAATATAATTTTGGGGGGATCTAATTTTATTTAGAAATTTACTAGTAGCTGCTGCATATCCCACCCTAGTCTTCTACTCGAGTCAATAAGTTTTCCCAGTTTTTGGGGTTAAAACTAGGGGCCTCGACTTATATTCAGGTCGACTTATACTCGAGTATATACGGTACTCAGTGGATACATGTGACAGAGCAATGGTTCTGTTACTGGTCTGTCATCGTGTCAGACCTATACTGTTCCTTGTTTTGTCACATGTGTCAGATACAATTACTATGTTCACCTATTGCTTTATGTACAAAGAAACATTCTAAAGGTAAAGTAGGATTATATTGTGTCACAGTAAATAAGTCAGGGACAATGGTTGATGATTTACCCCTGCAGTGCAGACACTTCCTGTGTACACAATTAGGGAAAAAGAGTGGGGCCTGTGTTTTGGATTCATTGTTTCCCCCTCAGTCTGGAATTACCTGTACCTGATGTCTTTTGTTAATTAGCCTTTGATATTTTTTACAACATTACCTATTGTCTGGTGTACCTGTAATTGAATTACCTGTTTTAAATTAGGCTCTCTATTGTTTGAGATTTAACATACTCTAATATCTTTAATTTTCTCCTGGGCATCTCATGTCCCTGATAGATCACTGTTGTTTATGTGTTATTTAGACCGCTTATATATATTTTATCCATTAACTTTAAAGTTTGTTTGTGATTTACTAACAAGGATCTTGTATGTCTCTTGGAGCATCCAGGTTTATTGTCATTTGTCATCCACTATAGAGTAATTACTCATAGAGAATTTCCAATGGACTAGATAGATAGAATATCCTATACGAACCAGAGCTATCAGTGCAGTACATTCTGCATTGCCGGTAGATACACGACTCACAGTACCGGGTTTTAGTGCTTAGTGTAGAGGTTAGCTGCACAGGTTAGTGAAAGAAACCCACGGATTATAACATGCCTGAACTACACCTTTTGCAGCAGAGATGTCAGGAAGTGAACCATATCTTCCTATAGGTTAGCCGAAAGCTCCAATCACTTGCCTCCTGCATCACCGTCAGAATATCATACCTAATTTCAAAGTCTCCCATCGACTGCATAAAGTCAAACTAATTCATCTCTGCTTTGTCCTAAGCATCAATATATCTACACACGTGCAGAATCCAAAAGCCAGTTACATGTGTACAACATATAACACAAAGTATGAAAAAAACATACATGAACAAAATTTATATTTTCATTAATTCAATTTACAGTGATCAATACAATAGATCAGAGATATAAATTCCATATAGAACGTGTATTGCATATGATTAAAAACCATTCATCTCATATCACATTCTCGAAATGTGTTAATCAGTGGAACTTAAAGCCATTTCGCAAACCTCCGCTGACTGTCTCAGTTATTACTTGAATATACTTTAAAGCATTAATAGAATATGAAAACGTTTGTAATTATTAACCTAATTTAGGGTAAATAGAGCACACAGTCTGAATGAAAAAATTAAATCTTCATTAATTTGACTTTAGAAGTTGGTGGTAAATAGTTCTGCATTAAATAGTGTCACACAAACTAAAATAAATTTGTTTATTTAGATCTCTCAGGTACTGAGCCGTGGAATGCAGTGCTGTTTCAGTTACCTGTGGGCAGAACCTTTCTGGATTGTCAGGTGAGTAAAAGATCTGTTAAAACCTTATTAAAAAGAAATCATGTCTTCAAGTAGCTTTTTAGACAGTTGAAAGAGCTGGGGAAAAAAGTCCATGTAAAGGATGTTGAAATGTAATAAATGTTATACGTTACATTTTTATACAGAATGTAGATGAAGTTGGGAGTTCTGAAAAAACACACATTCTAAACAGACTTTTCAATACAGGTGCACATAGCTTTCAACATAAATAAAAATGTAATCCACCTCTTTCTGATTTGATAAGATCAACAAGGAATTAAACTCAGTCACAGGATACATAAACAGGGTTATTCACCAAATTGAAAATTCAAGGTGAATTTGTGAATTTTTCAAATGTAACGGTAAAATAGCAGAATTGGGGAAAAATATCACTAAGTCATTTATGCTTTCAGTTGGCCTTGCATTCACTTTTAATAACATTGAATTCTAACTTTAGTAAATAACCCAGATTTTTTTTTCTTTCAATGCTCAATTCTCCAGGCTCATTTCTTTGTCTAAGAAGCCTCTGTGCTTCAAGTATTTCCACTTTCTATAAACTACCAAGTAAAGACCCAAAATAAGAAGTCATATCAGCTTCACTTAGTCATTGTCTGTAAAATAAGATTCTGTCTCCTTATTCTGCTAGATTTTGTTTTTCTTTGATGATCCTGGTGATTCTGGTTCTAAGAGTAACTAGCACTGATGGAGAGGCGATCCCGATGTCCATAGCTCTAGTGCTTGGATGGTGTCATGCCATGTATTTTGCACGTGGATTCAAGATGCTTGGACCTTTCACAATTATTATTCAGAAGGTAACAGAACTATCTTTATCTCCTTGATTACTCATCTATATTAAGATATTAGTTCTTTCCTAACATAATTTGGGGATTAATATCAAACTAATTAAAATATGGTATAAAACTAAAATATATCATCTCTGTTCCATTCAGTTCCATGCTGATTCCTCCCCAATGTTGCCTTAGAATTTCTCTCTACCAAAATTAGACACTGCATCTTACATCTGTAAAAATTTCAAATTGACAGTTTGAGTCTTGCAAATCATACGATGGGAATGTATTACATTGTTTTTTTTCAATTAAATGTTTCATTTCCTAATTGTAATTTAAATATATTTTTTTTTTATAAGAAATGTAAATCAAATTGATTTCTGCTAAAACCTTCCAGCAAACATTCTTGAGGTCTGCACAAAGGGATATGGAAAAAGTGGGATTTGGATCATCTGTATAAGGAAATGTGAAATCAGGAAGTGTTAAATAATTCTGGGAAAAGTTGGGTAACCATTAGCTATTGTGGACTACATTTCTTGTGATGTTATTGTCTGGGTTGATTTTTTTATTAGTTGTGATTAATTCTGAGTGACCGCGAAATATTCACACATTCTCTTTTTCACTCCATTTCAGATGGCATCAAGTGATCTCCTGACATTTTGTTGGCTAATGGCAATGGTTGTATTTGGGTATAGCACAGGTAGGTAACAATGTATGCCACACAGTGAAATCAACAGCCCTAAACAGTACCGTTTTCCAATGTAGTAACATCACAATGCCTCACACAGAAACCCACCAACTACTGCTATATCCATGGCCAGCGTGTCCATAAGGCGGCACAAGCGGCCTCCTTAGGGCGCCAGAGCAGGGGGGTGCAAAAATCCAAATCCCCTGCCTCTGGCTGGGGACTCAGATTTTTCAACTCTCCTCACTCTCCCTGCAGCCAGCACAGAACAGGCAGGAAGTCAGCGAGCGTCTCCTGATGATGTCAGGAGAAGGGGGCGTGATTTCCACTGCTCTTCTCCCAGACTCCCCAGCAGATCGCTGAGGAGTCTGGGAGAAGAGCAGTAGAAGTCACGCCCTCCTCCTGACATCAGAAGAGGCCGGACAAACTTCCTGGCTGTTCTGTTCTGGCGATCTGCAGGCTCCAGTGTCCCACCTGACCACCAGGGACAAGGCTTCCCCCTCCCTGGTCCAAGGTAAAACTCAGGGAGGGAGGAATACATTTAAGTTTTTTATTTTATTTTCTGTCCAATTTTTTTTTAAGTAGCCCCAGCCCCCCTTCTACAGTTTCTGCCCCCCTCCCCCTGTAGCCCTTGTCCCCTCCTCCTGTAGCCCCCAAATATAGTCCAGCCACAATAACTATGTACAAATCAACCACACACTGCACTTCTACCCAGTATAGGCTCATTACAATGTCTCATGGACCAACATACTACCTTCACCACTGCTCCTTCTTAAAATTGCGCCTGTCAAAGCCTCATACATGCAAACCACCCTCATCACTATATTTTCCTAAGAAAATCCAATTTGAAATACCACCTACACAAATGACCATGTTTTCCACTGGAGACCACGTCCTCCCAATATTGTTCCCATCACAATATAAAGGAATAGTATAGTAGAAAAGATAATTTATGTGTATTCCCAAGTATTTTGGGTTTCTAGTGCAAACTATTAAAAGTTTTATTTTAGATACATTTGACCCATAACACTTTATTTGTGTGATAATCAATTGTTTGTCCTATGTACATTTCTGTAATATAAATATTGTATTGACACAGACCTAGGAGAAAATACAAATTGTTATTTTAATTCAAACTCTTGAAGTGTGGTAAAATTAACTATGTCTAACTTAATTTTTCTCTTTTTCTCTCTTTTCCAACCCTTCCATTTTACTTGCAATTTTCCAATCCCTATTTCCACCTTCTCTCCTTCTCCTGGAAATTCCCTCTTTCATTCTACTGCACATTGTTTTTCCTCTTTTTGTCCTCCTGCTTATTTCTCTTCCAGCTCTCTTTATTGTTTTTCAGACAACAAATCAATCAGATTGGGGAGTTTTCTATCCCTATACCCAGTCTCTGATTAGTACCTACCAACTTTTCCTCAATATCCTCAATGGACCTGCCAACTATGATGTTGACATCCCCGAGATGTACAGCTTCCTCTATGCCTCCTTCTGTGTGATTGCATTCCTTCTCATGTTTAACCTGCTCATTGCTGTGATGGGAGATACACAGTCTGCCATGGCTAAGAAAAAGGAGTTATGGAAGGCACAGGTGATATACAGAAGACATGAAGCAAGAAACTGGTTACAAAAAAAAATGTGTGACTGATCATGATTGCATTGTGAAGTACACACAGGTCCCTCTACATATGTGTCCAGACATTCTATCACTTACTAGTATATCTATATGTAGAAAATGAGTTTTAGTGAAGCGCCTTATATATTTTCTTACATTAAGAAAATATATAAGGATGAGAAAAGGGTTTGGAAATAGGAAACCTAACAACCCATTATGTACAATACATAGAAAAATGCTCTGGATTAGCCTTATTCTCTAAGCATGTTACTAATTATAAAGTAACTGGCCAAAAATCAAGATCCAGACTCTGATGAATATGGCACAATCTCAATTTGGAAATAAAGATAGAACATAAAAAATATATAAACCGGACTTATTATAAAATATTAGTTAAAGTCCAATTATGAATCTTTGCAAATTCCTTAATCCAGGTAATTCCATTGAGTATTTTTACTCCATAATGTAAGTCCCGATATATGTAAGGAGATAAAAAGAAAAAACATATATATGTAAGTGGTATTCTACTTAATTTGATGATTTAAAATTACTTTATTAGAGGCATTCCTTATAAAAATAGAAACAATTCCATAAAATATAAAATATAAACATAGACAATCTGTGTCTTTGTCTATTATTAATATCTAATACGTTGAATACATGTAAGTGCAGAGCCTAGATCGATCTCTTGGCATCCAGAGTCAGCAGCGTTTTGTTGCTACACTGGATTCAAATCAAGGTTAGGAACGTACTAGATGCTGATTGTTAGTTATGGGAGTCAGGTCCTCTCCATATATATCTATAAATTGTTCTATCACTTACATATTTTGAGTACTGCTAGGAAAATAAGATATCATCAGGGATTCATAAGGTACTTCCTTTACATGTAAACATATACCAAAGTAAAATAAAGAATTTAATTTGTGTAATTTGCATATTTCTTCAAATGTTCTGCTTAATAGCATTAGTTTATGGTTCCCCAAGACATTAACAAAATTTTTAGGCTTTAAGAAATGACAGTCATTACAGTGAGGGAAAAAAGTATTTGATCCCCTGCTGATTTTGAAAGTTTTTCCACCGACAAAGAAATGATCAGTCTATAATTTTAATGGTAAGTGTATTTTAACAGTGAGAGACAGAATAACAACAAAACAAAAATCCAGAAAAACGCATGTTAAAAAAGTTATAAATTGATTTGCATGTCAATGAGTGAAATAAGTATTTGATCCCCTATCAATCAGCAAGATTTCTGGTTCCCAGGTGCCTTTTATACAGGTAATGAGCTGAGATTAGGAGCACTCTCTTAAAGTTCTCATAATCTCAGCTTGTTACCTGTATAAAAGACACCTGTCCACAGAAACAATCAATCAGATTCCAAACTCTCCACCATGTCCAAGACCAAGAGCTGTCCAAGGATGTCAGAGACAAAATTTTAGACCTACACAAGGTTGGAATGGGCTACAAGACTGTTGCCAAGCAGCTTGGTGAGAAGGTGACAACAGTTGGTGCAATTATTTGCAAATGGAAGAAACACAAAATAACTGTCAGTCTCCGTTGGTCTGGTGCTCCATGCAAGATCTCACCCCGTGGAGTTTCAATGATTATGAAAATGGTGAGGAATCAGCCCAGAACTGATATTGTTAATAATCTCAAGGCAGCTGGGACCATAGTCACCAATAAATCAATTGGTAACACACTACGCCTGAAATCCTGCAGTGCCTGCAAGGTCTCCCTGTTTAAGAAAGCACATGTACAGGCTCATTTGAAGTTTGCCAGTGAACATCTGAATGATTCAGAAGAGAACTGGGTGAAAGTGTTGTGGTCAGATGAGACCAAAATCGAGCTCTTTGGCATCAACTCAACTCGCCGTGTTTTGAGGAGCAGGAATGCTGCCTATGACCCCGAGAACACCATACCCACCATCAAACATGGAGGTGGAAACATTATGCTTTGGGGGTGTTTTTTCTGACAGGGCAACTGCACAGCATCAAAGCTGAAGCACATTAAGGTATTGGAGTGGCTTAGCCTCAGCCTCCAAAATCTGTGGTTGAGCTGAAGGTTCGAGTTGCCAAATGTCAGTCTCGAAACCTTAATGACTTGGAGAGGATCTGCAAAGAGGAGTGGGACAAAATCCCTCCTGAGATGTGTTCAAACCTGGTGGCCAACTACAAGAAACATCTAACCTCTGTGATTGCCAACAAGGGTTTTTCCACCAAGTACTAAGATGAAGGGGTCAAATACTTATTTCACTCATTGAAATGCAAATCAATTTATAGCTTTTTTGACATGTGTTTTTCTGGCTTTATTTTTTTGGTTATTCTGTCTCTCACTGTTAAAATACACCTACCATTAAAATTTTAAACTGATCATTTCTTTGTCAGTGGGCAAACGTTCAAAATCAGCAGGAAATCAAAAACTTTTTTTCCCTCACTGTAAATTATGTTTATTTGTAAGGGTATACATGAAATATATTGTACCCAACTGTGTGAAGTTGATAACAAGAGTCAATGGTTAGTTATCCTATATTTACAAGCAGTATTCCCATCTCCTTACCTATTAAGTACAGTATCCCATGAAGTATCTGCTATACCAACAGCAAATGTTCTTATACCAGCACTTGCTATCCAAACACCACATTAAATAGGTAAATAAATAAAATGCCTATGGGAGTTAATAAGACCACCATACTAATATGGTCTTGACCCCATAAGGTTTGGTTTATTTATTTCATTTTAACTTTTTTCAATGTGGCATCTAGCTAACCATTGATTGTCAGCCGCAACATAATTAGCCCTCACACAGCTGAGTTTTTTTTTAACTATTAGCATGCTGGCTCTTAGAGCTTCCAGGGGACAAATACTTTATCAGATTATCATTAACTTGCAAAAATACAAGTGAATGATAATTTGCGAATGTGCGTCCAGCCAGATGCATTTGGTTCTGATTTTGGTAAAATTTGTGCTCTGTGTATATTATGAATTCTATCATTTGTATAGCGTTCGGAAGAGCAATGGTTTTAATCCAACTGGACAAAATCAGGCGTTTAGTGAATAACCCTGTCTGCTTTTTTATTCTATTGACAGATCACCGACATTACATTAATGATGGAAAGGAAACTTCCGAAACGCTTGTGGCTAAGCTCACAATTATATGAGCATGACTTGGGTGGAAAAAGATACCTCAGGTAAATGTAGAAGATAAAAGTACATAATGAAAAAATAACAGTATTAGCCATAATAATAGTAATTCACATTTTTCTTGGAAATTCCTTTTTCGCATCATTAATATTCTTCAGTTAATGACATATGAGATTTTACTCTAATATTGTAATGGTGATTTTTCCTGTTTTCTTTATGCCATTCTGGGTTAGTTAGTAAGTAGTACTGCATGTTAATGCTTGACTCTTGTTTTACTTCGATGACGCCCACCTGAGATGTGAAATTAGATGTTTTTTGTTGTTTCTTCTGCTGTGGCAGTTTGGAGGAGAGTAAGTGGCACCCTCTCCCATATTTAGATGGAAGTGAATCTAGTGACGAATCAGACGAGGATTTTGCAGAGTTCCTAAGAGAAGAGGACATTAGTATGGGCCCCTGAGCTGTAAATATTGGGAGTTATCAGATACCAGCTGGCGCAATGGAGACTTGGAGAGATGGGCTATCTAATATAACATCTGTGGAAGAGAAATTATAGATATGGATTGTTCCTGTGTTTTTTTTGTTTTGTTTTCTTTCTTCTTTAACCAGATTGTTTAACCGTGTTGTGTAATCATTGCTCCCCTTGAGGACATACAAGGGATCAGGCTATCAGCCATATAGTTTAGAAAGTATTTAAAAAAAAACAAATTGGTGTTTGCACTGGAACATAATGTTTTTAAAGTGCTTATGACACTGTGAAGGTGAATCGCCCAAAGCCATAGCTAGTTGAAAGTTATTTAAATGAAAGTTAGCTACTGGTTGTGTATATTTTGGGAGAAAAAAAAGAATGGATTATATTATACAATTTACTTTGTGAGCCTGATTTACAATGTTGCCATAGGTGCAGTCTCTGTGATGGCACATGTGTGCATACTGAATTTTTCTGCATATACCCAGTGTACTTGTGTGAATCCAAACACACAAGTGCACCCAGAATGTCAAGATGCATTGACATCACCAAAGTCACAGAATTGCTGTAGTGACAATTACTTTATCTGCACTGCTCACCCCAGTAAATGTTTCAGTAGTGTTTACTTGTGTAAGAGAACAAGATAAATGACAGCTGTTCTAACAGGACCCCTGTGAAGTTAAAAATTCATTAATACAACCTGTATAATAGAGAGCCTTTGGTCTGGCTGATTATTTGGAATCTGAAATAATACAAAAGAGAGATATATGCAGCTACTCCCAAATAAGAGAAAAAAGAAAGTATTATTTTGTTGACGAAACAAATGAAAATGAGTACGCAAAATCTTACAAAAGCAGGAAGAAACAAATATACTTACTCCATCACGGAAGTAAACACGCTCCACGTTCTAGGTGCCGGCAGCAATGTTCCCCCTGTTCTGAAAATTCTCACAAAATAGCAGTACAACACTAAAAAAACTTATTAGAATAAAAAATATATATGTATTGTGAGAACGAGTATCCTTCTAGTGCAGATTTATGCCCACCATAAAAAGAAGCAGTGATAGGAACTGCAGTTAGCACATCTCTGCACTGGGCATCAAAAAAGAGAAGTGGAAGAGAATAAAAAAACAAAGCAAAAAAGAACTAAATCAAACCTAGAAGTGAACGCGTTTCACGTCACTACTGAATGCTTTAGCTACATCTTTTTTGATGCCCGGAGCTGTGTTAGCTACAACTCCTATCACTGCTGCTTATTATAGTGGTCATGCTATGTTCATAATATTATAATAAATCTGCACTACAAGGATACTTGTTCTCTGATATCTTTTCTTTTATTCCATTAGGTTTTTGGAGTGTGGTACTGGTCTTCAGGCGCAAGCCATTTTTCAGTCAGTCTGTTTAGAACACAAACAAATTACATAGTTCAGCAGTTTATGAGATCTGGCAATAGCATCCGGGAAGTTAAAATATGGTATCCCTTTACACAAACTAAACAGTATGATAATAGTATTCATAAATGTCTTCAAGGAGAACTGTCACTGCCCAGGATTTTTACATTCATGTTTACTCATCTCCTATATTTAACAAAGACGTGTTTATGAGCTTGTAAAATAAAAATAAATATTAGAAATCCTCATCGTGTTATTTATTTCTGTCCTGGAACTGAACACCTTCAACGTGGCTTCCTGCCAGTGATTGAAACATTCCCACAACTTGCATTAAATGTGTTTACATAGGCTGAAATAATCAATGCATGATAATAAATGTCCATGTTTCTCCTCCTTGAATCGAATGGCTGTGCCAGGACTGAACTGAATCATGATGTAATCTGTGCAATATATAAAATACATTTAAAAGAGACCAGAGCATCACATGAAAAAATAACAAAACAAATTAAAATAACATGTTAACACAGGTTTTAAATGATTTTCAACGTTTCATTTAATGGTAACAGTTCCCCTTTAATTTAATTAGTTCTGGAACTTTTCCCTGCATATTCTTTGAGGAAACATATTACTCTATTACCAATACGGGATCCTAAGAGCAGAGGCTTAACTAGAAACCACGGGACCCCGGTGCAAAAATTGCCCACAGGGCTCCCCCTTTCGTCTACCCCCATCCCATACATCCCCGCCCCCCAGTGGCTGCCTCATGCTGATGGAGTCAGAGCTCCCACTCTGATTCCTTCCTCTCCTCCTGTGCGGCGCTCTGTTGGCTGGGAGGAAGTGACAGCTTCCTCCCAGCTCTGACATCATCACTGGGGCCTGCTTGCGCTCTTAAAATGCTGCAGCGCTTACCATGCCTCAGGAAATCCATTGCCATCGGGTGGCCCCAAGAGCACGGGCCACCCGATGGGCTCCTTCAATGCATCCCGGTGTTTTTTCTGCGCAGTCAAGGGCTGCACCAAAGTGCTGGCGGGCACCCCAGTAGAAGGGGAAGACAGGGCGACAGGGCCCGCGACCCCTGCTACCGCGGTAGTTCCGCCAGTGCCTAAGAGGAGAAACAAAGACAACATATGTACAATTGTTTCCTTAGACCAGGGGTTGTCAACCTGGCCCCTACCGCCCAATAGTGGGTGGTTTGGGATTTTAGGTGGGCTGTGGTGGGTTCTGCAGAAAACGCCCAGTGGGCCTCGATGGCCATGGACCAAGGCAGGCAGGGGAGATCCTTTCATCTCCCTTGCCGACCCACTCCAGAGCCAGCCTTGCTGTAAGCCCTCTTAGGGGGCTGGTGAGGAGATCAAAGCACTTAGAGATCTAGAAAAGTAAAGGAAGGGCCTGGAAGGGTCTGTGTTTCTCCTGTGAACAGGCTGGTCAGAGCGTTGCCGCACATTACCATAATCACAGTGATCAGACTCCCTTTCTTCTCCCCCTATCTAGACGTTGCAAAGTGAAGAGAAGTGAAGAGCACATGGGTAAATCTGTCAGGCTAGCCACAGAGAACAAAACCACCCAACTCCCCAAACATAAAAGAAAAAAAGAATGAAAGTGTACGTACCCTGCCCCCCAAACTTAAAAGAAAAAAGAATGAAAGTGTAGTTACCCTGAAATCAGAGATGGATGAACCTTAGTATACATTGAGGAGAAACCTATAGCAAATGATTGCTGCAAAAAACATGCAGAAAAATTGTGATTGGATGACTCAAGACAAGGTGCTGCAGCAACTAAATAAAGTTATTAAAAAAACTAAGCCTCAAAGCCTAATGATAATCACCCACAAGTACTTAAGGAGCTAAGTATGGAAATAAGCAAACCTCTGTTTTTAATCTTTCAGGATTGTTATTAGCAAAAAACTACACTTTTTTTGAAACATAGGTCATGTCAAACTAGCCCGAGTGTCAAGCAAGCATACATCCTATGTACCCTTCACTCACAAATATACACTACACCCCTCACAACACACACTGACCCCTCACACACACACACACACAGACTGCCCCCTCACACACACAGGTCATGTCAAACTAACTTAACTGCATTCTATGAAGAAGCAAGTAGAATTATAAATAAGGGTGTTGCAGTTGATGTGATTTAATTGGATTTTGCTAAGGTGTTCGATACAGTTCCACACAATAGGTTAGCGTTAAAACTAAAAGAAATTGGTCTGGATGAAAAACTTGGTCAGATTGCATTATTGGGCAAACCTCTCAGCTAGGGGAGTTTCTTCATCCTCCCTGCCACCACCCATACCCATCAACTCAGTTTCAGACCAGTCCACTAATGACAGAAAGAGGTCATCATTGAGAAGCAGCAGGAGAGAGAAACCCGATCACAGTGATCAGACTCCCTTTCTTCTCCCCCTATCTAGACATTGCAAAGTGAAGAGAAGTGAAGAGCACATGGGTAAATCTGTCAGGCATGTCCAACACACTTTTACAGCATTCCTAGGAACACTGATTGGTAGACTTGTGCATTCGTTATCTGACAAATATGATTTTGTCTGAATTGTCTGATTTTTTCATATTCGTTTACTATAACATAAATGAAAGTCCTACATATGAATTATATACGAAATGAAAGGGCAAATGCCGAATGCATTACCTTTTCGTTTCAGTTCTTTCATTTAAAGCAGCACTGTCATGCGGAACTTACCTTTCCCCAATCACTTCCTCTTCTCTCCATCTCTCAGGATCTGTTCCTCATTTCTTCTTGTCTGCTCTAGTTTTCTTTAAAACATAAGACAAAGTAGGGACATTTTTTGTACGTAGATAGCTCCCCATGCCTTTGGCGGTGGGGGGCTACTTTTACATTTAGCCCTCACCTGCCACCCATGGGTGTGGGCTGGGGGGGGACAATAGATTCCCCCTATTGTTATTTTGGGCCCCCACCCACTGGTCATGGGTGGGGCGGGGGACGACAATAAGTCCCTCCCTATTGTCACTAGGGCCCTCACCCATTAGCAGCGTGTGGGGGCAGGGAGGCAGTAGGTTTCCCCCCAATGTTATTTTGGGCCCCCACCCACTGCTCATGCGAAAAGAACCTTATTACAGGCTTTTGGAGGGGCCTGCTTGCCAGACTAAGGGCCCGGTCAGCGACTGTAAAGACCCATATTTTATTCCCCCTAGTTCCCCTGGTTCGGCACTTTCCATAGAACAGAATGCTAGCTCACTGGCGGCCGTTCGCATGGACTAAAACCGTGAATAGACTTCAGGGGGACTTAGCTGTGAATGCTCTGGAACTATTTTCGGCATGAAAACTTTGCGATTCCTGGTCGGTCCCCCAGCAGCACTTAGCCGCGATTCTATGGAACTGTTTTGGGCATGGGACCATGTGTGCGGTCGGCCAAAACTATGACTTTCAGGAAATCCCTGAACCCCTTAAACGATCTGGGTGACTTTCGGATATGTTGTTCACCCAGATCGGGGCTATCAGGGGATGTAACATTTGTGGGGGTTCGGGGGTTTTATAAAAATGTGTATTTTTTGTGTCTGGAGATAATTGAGTTAGTACAGTTCCTGACTGTATGATTATGTATGGCAGTGTCTTGTACTTGAACAAGCTTTGTCATTGGTCTGTAACTTTGTACTATAGTCTTCCATCAGATCCAGGTGGCAGTACCCCTTGCATGGGGATTGTCATAAAAGGCCAAGTGTGGTCCCATTAAAATCAGTTCACTTCACCCTCAACACACAGCCTTGTCTCGTGATTGTAGGGGACATCTATACCAGCTATACCTGCTTTGGATTGCTATACTGCCTATAATCATTAGCTCTTGTAAGAGCTACACAGCTATACCTGCTAGACTCTCTGGAGTAGGAGAGGTTTTAAGACGCTGGATCCTTGGCATGGGTCCAGGGTGGGTGGAGGACAGCGAGACCCCAGCCAAGCTATGGCAGCTAAGGAGCTATGGTGCTTATGGTGTCCGATGTGGTACTTATAGTACTCCAAGCTACTAGGAAGCAGCAACATGGTCCGTCACATCATGGGTGGGGGCAAAGGGGGACAATAGGTCTCCCCGCCCCTATTGTATCTTAGTGACCCCACCTGCCGCTCATTGGTGGGGGCCAGGGGAGGACAATAGGTCCTCCCCCCTTCCTATTTTCACTAGTGGTGCTTTAATATTTATTACACGGAAGAAGCTGGTATCGCTGCCGGCTCCCTCCTAGCTTTTTTTTTGCGCATGCGCAAATTATTTCTTACAGAATTTCGTCAAAAAAATTTATGTTTTTACGGATGAAATTTGGAATGGACGAATGAAATTTTTATTTAGTACAAATTCATTTGTATGAAAATTTTTTTTACTGGTGCACGTGTCTACTGATTGGTTAGATCAGTGTCCCCCCTGGGGTGGGTGTCAAATGCTTAAATAAAGAAGAAACAAGTAAACATGAAAAAAAAATCATGTTTACCTGACCTGGTTTTCAGCCTGCAAAGTGAGGCAATTGTCTAATTCAAAGCTAAAGCTTTTGATTGAGATCGTTGTTGCAAAGTGATGCATACTGCTTTAACCCCTTAAGGACACATGATGGAAATATTATGTCATGATTCCCTTTTATTCCAGAAGTTGTGTCCTCAAGGGGTTAATGCTAGTACTTGTTAGACTCCTATAATCTCTAGCAGCACTATATCCCAGGCTAACCCAAATAATTTAGACACCTACTTGCAGCTGTTTTTTTTTAACCCTTGAGTGATGTGTGATGCATTATTTGCCCCAGGATAATTATTACAACTAAATATTTTCACATTTTATTTTTGTTTTGTTTTTTTTTCTTTTTCACTGAATGCCTTTATTGAGACTGGATTGAACTGAATTATAAAGTAATTTGTTAAATTGTTAATGTACATTTAAAAGAAAACATGAAAAATAGGCTTCACACAGGTTATATGTGATATTTGATGTTTTATTCAATGGCATGGGTTCCACTTTAACAGTTTCTGTGCTGAAACTCTCACTATTATATAGAGGAAACATTGATTTTAAAATGACTCGATGTTACCTGGATAGGACCCTGAGTGTGGTAAACCAATAGATTAGCTTTTTTTTTTTTTTTTTAAAGAAAAGGTTCCTGTAAGTGTCTTATCAGACTATGATAACTTTGTAAATCATGCTATCCCTTAGCATTAACAGTGACAAACTTTGTTAACCTCTTCAGGACCAAACTTCTGGAATAAAAGGGAATGCTTAAGGGGTTAAATAACTTTGTGTTATATTTTTAAAAAAAGTGTTTATTCCTTAGTTTGGTTGATGAAAAGATGTTTTCTAGGTGCCATTAAAACCTGAACAGTCCCATTTGTCTGCACACTATTATATTATTAGATATAAGCATTATTACTTTTTTTTTTACACTTTTTTATTTATTTATTTTTATTATTCACTGTGTCCTGACTATGACTGGACTGAACTGGATTTTGATGTAATTTGTAAAAATTTTGATGTATATTTAAAAGAAAACAGCGTATTGCATAATAAATCAGGTTCACACAGGCTATATGTGGTTATATATGGTATTCATTGTTTTATTTAACTGTTTCTGTGCTGAAACATTCACCAGTATATTAAGGAAACACTGATTTTAAATGAGTCAGTGTTATATGTATTCGACCCTAGGAGCAGAAACAAATAGATTAACCTTTTCTTGGGGACAACATGTCTCCAATAGTTTTCGCAGACTATAAGAACTTTGAAAAGCAAACAATGCCTTCGGAATAGCATTAACAATAAAAACTTTGTTAAACAAGTTTGCATTATTCAAGAAAAGTGTTTATTTCACATATTAAAATGTGGTTAAGGAGACCCCTGTTTGTTTCTTTTGCCGCTTGTGGCTTCTAAATGGCTTCTAAAACTGGAGGATGTCACCCAGAGACCTTGAGCGAAGTAACCACTGCAAAGAACTGTAGTGTTTATGTTACTCAGAGTGTCACTTTAAATTAAAAGATAGTGTTAAGCAGTCAGACACTCACTTGAGTAAATAACAAGAGCGAGAGCTAGACCAGGTTTTTCTTCATGTGATATTTTATCTAATATTTGATTCAGCTGCCATGTAAAGTGAGCCTACAATATTTTGACCCCTCGTTCAGTCCTCAAAGCATGACGAAGAACCCATACAGGGGTTAAAACTTTGCCAGTTCTCATTATACGATTGCTAAATAAAATATCACAGATCTAGTGTTTTAAGTGGTGGAATGTTTATTTGGGACTGTAAAGAAAGACATCACACACAATAGTTAAATAAAAAATATATCAAAGAGAATGTTTGAATTACGCAATTCCTTACATGGAAAGATAAGTGTTTTAATTAAGCTAATCCTGATGTGCACTAAAGGATTTTAAGGAAGTACTTTCTGGCAAGAGAAGTGTTAAGCCTAATGTTACATAACATAAGGTAAATTAAAAAAAAATTGGTCCCCCTCTACACAACATAATTAATTAACTCTTATTAGAAACTGAATCAGAGAAGCAATACACACAAGGTTTTTCACTAAAGTGAGAATTTATGGCAATTCAAAGTGAATTTCAAAACTAAGGCAAACATTATTAATATTATTATTTTTATTTAGCGCCAACAAATTCAGCAGCGTTTTACAGTGGGTGGACAAACAAACATGTAGTTGTAACCAGACAAGATTGACGTACAGGAACAGAGGGGTTGAGCACCCTGCTCAATGAGCTTACATGCTAAAGGGAGTGGGGTATAGTGACACAAAAGGTAAGGGTATAATATTAGGGAAGAATATTGGTAGCATAGTATTAACTAAAGACTTAGTGTGTTTTATTTATTTATTTTTTTACTCAAATTAAAGGACCACTATAGGCACCCAGACCACTTCAGCTTAATGTGGTGGTCTGGGTGCCTGGTCCAGCTAGGATTAACCCTTTTTTCTATAAACATTCCAGTTTCAAAGAAACTGCTATGTTTATAAATGGGTTAATCCAGCCTCTAGTGGCTGTCTCATTGACAGCCGCTAGAGGGCTTCCGCGCTTCTCACTGTGATTTTCATAGTGAGAAGACGCCAGCGTCCATAGGAAAGCATTGAGAATGCTTTCCTATGGACTGGCTGAATGCGCGCGCGGCTCCTGCCGCACATGCGTATTCAGCCGAAGAGGAGGAGAGGAGGCGGAGAGAAGGAGGAGGAGAGTTCCCTGCCCGGCGCTGGAGAAAGAGGTAAGTTTAACCCCTTCCTCCCCCCAGAGCCCGGCGGGAGAGGGACCCTGAGGGTGGGGGCACCCTCAGGGCACTATAGTGCCAGGAAAACGAGTAAGTTTTCCTGGCTCTATAGTGGTCCTTTAAGCTATATCTATGTATCGGCAGCCATACATACTAACTATAATGCGGTCTGAAATGGACTGTTGGCACAATTAGTGTTCTGCTTTGACAATAAAATGGACCACATACTCCTGGTTCCAGATAGCCACGTGGACTAGGTCCATAAGCACCATGCAACATTCTGTTAGTCTTTTGTCCTACATACAGGGCCAGATTAACATAGGGGCTGATGGAGCTGTAGCTCCAGGCCCAGGCCCATGGAATATGCCCATTGATTTAAAAAAAAAAAAAAAAAAAACTTTTTTTTTTTACACACTACTTTTAGGGTTGCCAAGTATTTCTCAGAAGTATTTCCCAGGTATTTGAAGCTGCCTAGCCGGTGCCGGCATTGCAGTAATACCGGCAATACAAATGTCTGTCTCAGTATAAACAGAGATTATTCTGCAATACCAGCGCCGGACAGTAGGGGTCACTGTTTGTGTGGAGAGAGGCAGGGATAAGAAGCATCTTCCTCCCTGATTCTCTCTGCTCACTGATCCGCAGGGGAGCAGCTCTGTACAGAGAGTCCAGACAGCAGTTTCGAGCCTGCGAGACATGGGGTCAGTGAGAGACTTGGGGATGCTGAGACATTGGGACACTGGGAGAAACTAGGGACACAATGGTCCCATGTCTCCCAGTGGCCCCTAGTCTCTCAGTGTCCCCATGTCTCCCAGCCAGTGTCCCTAGTGTCTCAGTGTCCCGTGTCCGCCAGTGTCCCTGGTGTCTCTCAGTATCCTCATGTCTCCCAGTGTCCCTAGTGGCTGTGTCCCTAGTCTCCCAGAGTGCCCTAGTCTCTAAGTGTCCCCATGTATCTCAGTGTCCCCATGTCTATCCCAGTGCCTCAGAGTCCCCAAGTCTCATAGTGTCCCTAGTGTCTCCCAGTGTCTCTGGTGTCTCTCAGTGTCCCCATGTCTCCCAGTGTGCCTGGTGTCTCTCAGTGTCCCTAGTGTCTGTGTCCCTAGTCTCCCAGAGTGCCCTAGTCTCTAAGTGTCCCCATGTATCTCAGTATCCCCATGTCTTTCCCAGTGCCTCAGTGTCCCCAAGTCTCACTGTGTCCCAATGTCTCTAAGTGTCCCCTAGGGTATTAGTGACATCGGGACACTGGGAGACATGGGGATACAAACACTAGGGGACACTGGGTGACATGGGGACACTGAGAGACATGGAGACACTGGGGACACGGGGAGACATGGGGACACTGAGAGACATGGAGACACTGGGGACACAGGAAGACATGGGGACACTGGGCGACTTTGAGACTTGGGAGATTTGGGGCACATCTCCCAGCCAGTGTCCCTAGTATCTCAGTATCTCCATGTCTCCCTGTGTCGCTCAGTATCTCCATGTCTCTCAGTGTCCATAGTATGCCACTGTCCCTAGTCTCCCAGTGTCTCAGTGTCCCAATGTCTCCCAGTGTCCCCATGTCTCCTAGTGTCTCAGTGTCCCCTAGTATAAAATACAAAATCTCAGGCACTCACTGTAATAGATTTAAGCAGGTTTATTGGACACCGCCATGTTTCGACCTGTACCCAGGTCTTCATCAAGTGCCCAGTGTCCCCTGTGTATCACAGTTTTCCCTATGTATCAGAGTGTCTCAGTGCCCCATGTCTCCCAGTGTCCCTGGTGTCTCCCATTGTCCATAGTGTCTCAGTGCCCCCTAGTCTCTCAGAATCCCCTAGTATCCCAGTGTCCCCATGTCTCACAGTGCCCCCAAGTGTCTCAGTGTCCATAAGTATAAAAGAAAATAATCTCAGGCACTCACTGTGATAGATTTAAGCAGGTTTATTGGACACTGCAATGTTTTGACCTGTACCCAGGTCTTTATTGAGTCCCCTATGTATCACAGTGTCTCAGTGCCCCATGTCTCCCAGTGTCCCCTCATGTCTCAAAGTCACCCAGTGTCCCCATGTCTCCCAGTGTCCCAATGTCTCTCAATGTCCCCTAGTGTCCTAGTGACATGGGGACACTGGGAGACATAGGGACACAGACACTAAGGGACCGGGAGACATGGGGACACAGACATGTCCCCTTTTTGTGTATGTTCGCCCCTTTCGGCAGTTCTGGTTATGTGATTTGTGTCAGTGGCCCACCCTTTTACCCCATCCATAGACTTCCTGCTTTACTGGACACTGCTGTTAGGGGGTATGGTATCCCTCCAGCACCATCTCCATCAGATACATGCCGCTTAGGAGATAGGACTGTTTTAGTGTTGTTGGTCAATAAGATTTTGTAATTAGGCCCATCATAATTGTCAGCACCAGGCCCACTGGGCTCTTAATCTGGTCCTGCCTACATAGTAACCCTGTAATTCATACAATTAATAATTAAATTCCCATCTAAATGCCCTACATTCTAATAACACAATTAAGCAAATTGGAATAAAGAAAATTTGTATTCCTTGCCAATAAAAATCCAATGGTTTGAGAGCTGCCATCATTCATTTACAAGCAAACATTGTACACAGCATTATAATTAAATGACTGCCCCCAATACAAACCCCATTACAAGCATTACAAACCCCTAAAACATTTCAGCTTGCTAAAGTGTTTAATTTCTTTTTTTCACACTTTATAAAAGTGAATATGTCAAGAGAATTCAATATGGTTATAAAGTGTCTGGGTTCCATTCAGGCAGATTGGAGGGTGCGCTTTCTGAAATGCTTTTTCCGCCCCAGCAAAGTATAAATGAGGCTAGTTTTAGAAACGCATTGCAGATGAAGTATGACGATTGCCAAGCACTCATCCTTAGTGCTCCTCTATCCAAAGCATTTAATTGGTTGAGCGCTCATCAGTACTGCAATCAGTATTGCAGAAATGCCAGC